TTGTTAATGAGCTTAATCCTGTTTAATGTTTTAAGTTGTCTGGGTGTCCCATCACTAATCAGGGGCATTCTAGTAACTTCCTGTATCATTGTACTACACCATAATATAAATAATAGTACTGTTGATTGAGCAATGCAGTTCGACATTCCAGCATCTCTTCTTCTTCTTCTTCTCTTTTCTGCTACTTCGGCTACAGTAATTTAGCTTTCAGCTGAAACTACTTCTGTAACATGTATTAGAGCGCTAAGCAAAGGAGAAGAAGGCTGCGGCTTCAAGTTTCCTATTCTGCGATCTCTCCTTCTGTTTTCTCCTCTGGGCTGCGAAATCTGAGGTACTCAGTCTGATAACTGCAGCACCTTTTTAATTTTTTTAGGACTGCCACAATCCCTATTACAAGTGTTAGGAAGGTGCGGCAGCCCTAGGATATCAGTTTCATACTGCTGTCACCATGTGTGACAGCTCTAGTCGTGTGGTGGTGTTTGTGATGTTCACCCTCTATTGAGCAGTTTCAAGAGGGTTTGTGTGTGGTTGTTTGAGTTGTTGAGTTGCTGTCATGGTGATTAATGTTTCCGAGTAATCAGTAGTGGTGTGAACAAGAAAAAAAAAATTCTGCTTGAAGGAGTGGCCGAATTTTTTTTCTGACTAGTAGTTTACATCAATATTTTAATCTGAATGGAAGGAGTGACCGAATAGTTTACATCAATATTCTGACTAGTAGTTGCTGTCTGAATGGTAGTTTACACAAATTTTTTAATCTGAAATGGTAGCTGAACCTATCTGAAACATCAAGCTCTTGATCTAAATGTTAGTTTACATCACGGTTGCTGATTGTGACTGGTTGTGAGACTATTATCAGTGTTTGGAGACTGCTATAGTGTTACCTTGACAGCAGTACTCATTTGGTGACTGAGGATTCAGCATTAGAAGTAGCATTGGGGGGACATAATGGCAGCAATTGGAGATGGTGGTAGTGATCAGAAACCTGGTGTGATGATTCCCTCAGACTATCTAGGTGTGCAGATGACTTCAATTAAACTCAATGGTGAGAATTATGTTCCATGGGCCAAGTCAGTGGAAGTTTTTCTCAAGGCAAAGAGGAAAGTGAAACATGTGAATGAAGATAAACCATCCACTGAATCTCCAGGGTTTGATGACTGGGAACAAGAAGATGCCCAAATCATGACATGGTTGTGGAACAGTATGGAACCCAAAATAAGTGTCAACTTTATGTTCTTAGATACAGCTAAGGACATATGGGAACATGCCAAGAAGCTTTATTCTGGATAGGATAATACTACGAGGGTATATCAGCTCTATCAGGAGTATTTCAATCTGCAGCAAGGGAATCAAACCCTAGAAGAGTACTATACTAGTATGAGAAACCTCAGAAATGAACTCAATGTCTATCGTCCCCTAACTCCAGATGTTAAGGTTCAGCAACAACAGAGGGAGCAACTGGGTGTCACTAGATTCTTAGTGGGGCTGAAATAAAGTATGAACCAATTAGAACACAAATATTGGGAGGCTCTACTCTTCCTAACTTGAGGAAGTATTTGCACGGCTTCGCAGGATTTTTTGGGATCCACAAAGAGTACCACACCATCTGACAGATCAGTATTTGTGGTAGCTAGAGGAGGTGGACGTGGTAATAGAGGGGGAGGACATGCATCTCGAGGAGGTCGTGGTGGTTCCATATTTGGCCATGGTAGTGGTTGTGACTCAAGGGGAGTGTTAGAGTTGGCTAAGGAGGGGTATTCCAGTCTTTTCTGTTTAAGTAATATGTTAATTACATGTCCCATACATAAGTAGGGGCATATTTGACTTCGTACACTGTTTTGATAAATATAAATATATGGTCGACTGGGAGAGACTCTTTGTCTTCTCAGTTCGACACTTCTTTCTCTTTCTCTTCTTCTTCTTCTTCTTCCTTCTTTCTCTCTTCTCTCTTTTCTATCACTGAGATCAGTTCGATTGGACTAGTTTCACAAGTAAGAAATAATTGTATTAATATTTCTATAAAGTCATACAAGTAAGAGATTTTGCATATAGTTATAGCATGGAATTATATGACTAAAGCAAATTAATTTCCTGCATATTTTCTCTCTCTAATTTAACCAATGGTAATATGCAATTTTCTGCTGCAGTTATACCTTGTTCAAGATGTTTGATGATCTTATACTTCTAGCAAAAGGAGGTCTTACTGTGTACCATGGACCAGTGAAGAAAGTGGAGGAATATTTTGCAGGCCTTGGGATCCATGTTCCTGATCGTGTTAATCCTCCAGACCACTTCATTGACATTCTGGAGGGTATTGTAAAACCAAGCACTAGCTCAAATGTGAGTTATCAAGAGCTTCCTGTCAGATGGATGCTTCATAATGGTTATCCAGTACCCCCAGACATGATGGAGACTGTAGGTGGGATTGATATGCCCTCAACAAGTGTAAATCCAAGCAATGAAACAAATTCCATTGCCGCAAATGGAGAACAATCTTTTGCTGGAGATTTGTTGCAGGATGTGAAGTGTAATGTTGAGCTTAAGCGGGACAATATCCACCACAATTTCTTGAAGTCCAAAGATCTATCAAACCGAAAAACTCCTGGTGTATCGCAACAATATAGATACTTCCTTGGAAGGTAGATACTGATTCTTTTCTTTCTGGTACATACAGTCAAACATTCTTAATTTTCTTCTAATGTATTGGAAAAGAATGAAAGAGGCAAACCCTGGATCAAAAAGAATAGCTGTATCTGATGGAGTCCTAATTTATATCCATAACAATCTTTCAGAAGTTGACACTGTAAAATTATTAAGCATTCTGTTACTTTCATAATCCATACATTAAAATAATTAAGGAGAATAAGTGGGTAAACTTAGTTATTGCTTATGTGTGTATGGATCTGCATGCATGCATCTGTGATAATATGCTGTCCTCTTTTATTTCTCTGCATTTCTCTGAAGTGTTCAGAAACAACAGATGGCACACCTAAATATCCCCCATGGTTTCTGGTATGGGGTGAATACTCAGGGTGAATACTCATAGGGGTAAATATTTCTTCTGTTCTGGTCTATGGAGTTCTTATTGCTTTAGTGGAGCAGCATGGATCTGGCTCCAATAGAGACTGTATATCATGGTGAATATATATCCTATAGTTCTGATGGTATCAATAAAATTTACCAGTTAATTTAAAAAAAAAAAAGGCTTCTTTAATATGTGGCAATATGTTCTGAAGTTGCTGCCATGTTTGGGATCAAAGACTTTAGATGGACTCCCACCCCCAAAAAAGGGGGTTTGTTCATTCTAGTGAACTTTTGCAAATTGTTATTTTTTTTATTAGTGTGGATCTTTTGTAAATTATTTCTTGAACAGTTTGTATCTGATGAGATATACTTGTACCATTTTCCAGGGTTGGTAAGCAAAGACTACGGGAAGCTAGAATACAAGCAGTAGACTTTTTGATCTTATTGCTTGCTGGTGCCTGCTTAGGAACACTTGCTAAAGTGAGTGACGAAACCTTTGGGGCAATTGGCTACACTTACACTGTCATTGCAGTTTGTAAGTTTACTAACTTTATCATGCTTGACTATGCTATTCTTGTAAACCCAAACCCCAGAGATATGTTTGCAGTGATTTGTGTGTGCTGTTATCAGATGAGAAATATAAGAAAGAAGAGAAATAAGAGGAAATACGATGTGTATTTAACCTTAGTGGTCGGCTCACCCTAGTTTACATACTTGTGTATTTAAAACATTGAAAAATTACAATCATGGCCTCCTTTAATAATACACAACAGCAGGACATACTTGGGTGTTTCTACAGCTATCTTACTGCTGAGTTCAACTTGAGCTCTTTAAGCCATGGGTTTAAAGCAATCTACCATGTTTGCAGTGATTTGTGTGTGCTGTTATCAGATGAGAAAAATAAGAAGGAAGAGAAATAAGAGGAAATAGGGTGTGTATTAGCCTTAGTGGTCGGCCCACCCTAATTTATATACTTATGTGTTTAAAACATTGAAAAGTTACAACCATACTTAGGTGTTTCTACAGCTATCTTACTGCTGAGTTCAACTTGAGCTCTTTAAGTCATGGATTTCAAAGGAATTCACTATTTTTGGAGAAACTCTACTCTAGTCTTGCCTCTTCCAAAGCTCTAATCTAGTCTTTATGTCTTACCAAAAAGGGTCATTACACAATGTTGGTTTCATCTATCTGGGTCTTGGGAGAGTTGGACCGAATACAAACTTATCCAGTTATCCGGAGCCATTGCTTGGTGCAATGGTAAAATTCAGACTGACAAGTCTAAGAACACAGATTTGAGTCTGAGAGCAGCTACTTTGTGCAGAAGTGTTCTCTCTTTCAGAACTGTCATTTCCTTTTTGAACATAAATACTCATGATGGGAAATAAAAATGGCAAATTTATCCAGATTTTATGTAGAAAACTAGAAATTAACACTTTTCTTTCCATATTTCCTTCCTCACTTTTTAAATCTTTAATTTCTTGGCTGCAGCTCTCTTATGCAAGATCGCAGCTCTGAGATCATTTTCTCTGGACAAGTTACACTATTGGAGAGAGAGAGCATCTGGCATGAGCAGCCTAGCTTATTTTCTTGCAAAAGATACAATTGACCATTTCAATACACTTGTCAAGCCTCTAGTGTATCTTTCCATGTTCTATTTCTTTAATAATCCACGATCTTCGTTCACGGATAATTACATTGTTTTGTTCTGCCTTGTCTACTGTGTGACTGGTATAGCATATGCATTTGCAATCTTCCTTGAACCAAGCCCAGCCCAACTGGTGAGTTCTGTGGATTTATACTGAAGAAACTCTCAATTTATATATTTTCATTTCTATATGTGATATGTCCTTTTCCCTTCTACTTACAAGATACTTTGGTTTCTGGCAGTGGTCAGTGCTGCTTCCTGTTGTTCTGACTCTAATCGCTACACAGCAAAACAAAAGTCCGTCTATGAAGAGATTAAGTGACTTATGCTACTCAAAGTGGGCTTTGGAAGCATTTGTGATAGCAAATGCTGAAAGGTTTGAACATCCTTTCTTAATGTGAATTAATTTCTTCAATTTTTTACCAAGGTCGTCTTTAAAACACATGTCATGCAAAATGCACTTCTCTTAAAACGCCCCATCATGCATGGACATTGACACTGGTATGATAGGTAAAGTTAAAAATATTGTGGAACTTGGATAAAGGAGTCTTCTTTGATAAGAAAATTTGGGTAATTTATTAATTAAAGGAGGGTCAAACCACAAATACAAGATTGTCATACAACAAAAAGAATGAGATACTATAAATAGTCACATATCATGAGCTGATAACTACACATATCTGTGGAATAGAAACTCCTATTTCACTCTCCCTACAACTCCCAAATTTTACAAAAGGAACATGTTCCGAAAGAAAATGATCCCAAGCACCAAACAGATAGAATGCTAAAACATGAGAACTCCCATGTAATTCATTTGTCTATACTGTACACCCATTATATCTCCAAGAAAAGGAAGAAAATCTAAACATCTCTGGTCATACATGTTCTTCATGTTATACATAAAGGAAGATGCATCTCTATTTCTTCATGTCATACATAATGCATCTGCCCAGCATATGCATGTTAGTTTGCTTCTTTCTTTATTTGCTTCATTCTTTCTGATACTGCAATCATGGTACAACCTCTGATCTTCATATAGTCCTCCCTGTGTCCGTCACGTCAGAGCTGCCTCCTTGTAGCTCCTACTCTCAAGTTAGATGTGTTTTAGTGCAAATATCAAAATGGATGAAATGCCTAAATATGAAAACATTACAATTTACAAGATATGGGTGGAAAATGTTTCACCACTGGATGAAAGTTGCTTGGTGTGAATTGGAGTCCTTTAAAGAAGGTGAATGCCATAAAGGGTGTTGATTTGAAGTAGTTACAGATGACCTTGAGGACTTCTCATTTAACAGAAACAAAGCAGCAGGGGCACATTTTTGTCACAAACCCCCCCCCCCCTTCCCCACATTGTTCTGACCCATCAAAAAGAAAATGCTCTCGATAACCTGCTTGGATTTTATTAGCATTCACTTTGCAAACAAAGTAGGTAATGTGTAAAAAATCAATGATTTCATTGGGTTGCATGGTTCCAACACACTACTAAACTCTCCATTACCTTGGTTTCTGTTGTCTCCAGGTATTCTGGAGTGTGGCTGATAACTCGATGTGGTTCACTTCTGAAGAGTGAGTATGATGTTCATGATTGGAATCTCTGTCTAGTTATCCTTATCCTCTATGGTATAGTTAGTCGTGCTATAGCTTTCTGCTGTATGATTACCTTCCAAAAAAAATAAGTCAGAATTATCATTCTTTTGCCGTTTTTTTTTTCATTTTTTGTACAAAATTGAAAAAGGTTCACCTTTTGAGACTCGTGTACCACAGTAGCTTTCTGAACCATCAGTCATTCCCGGAAAGTGATACAGGCCTTTGTAACCAAGTTGGAATCAGTAGTTAAACATGGCATATGGTATTAAAAATTTTAAATCAGTGGAAGAACATGTTGGACAAAATTATGTAAACTACATCCTGATTCAATTAGCATTGTATTTAGGATTCAATGGACATGAACAATTAATAAAGGTAGCACGTCCAATTTAGGTTTTGTTTCATTTCTTTGCACTCCGTGTGAATCTAGTGGTAAGTGGTTTATGGAAGTTCTTTTTTTTTTGTTTTTGATGAATAACAGAATGATTAAAGCCAAAAGAGATACAACAAGGGTAGCCTTGGTTACCCCTGTAAAGCAGAACAAACAAACAAACACCCAACTTTACTTTGATAATTACATCTGAGCCCAGAAACAAGTTTCCTTGAACACCCCCTGTTTTGCTAACTGATCTGCCATGTTGTTAGCCGATCTTGGAATCCATTGAAAGGCCACTTGCATACCATCTGTAAATCTTTTAATCTTCTTGAATTCTTTTCTAAAAGACCACGGAGCTTGCTCTTTTTTAACTTGTACCAATATCACTTGTTGCCTATTTCCTGTGGATGTGAAACCTTTACTTTTCTGTGGCTCTTGGATATGGAATATACTTACCAAAGATGCATATGTAAGATTCATTTTGAATCCATACGGTGTTCAATGTGCATTTTTGCATGAGGTTTTTTAATAGATAATGAAAGCGTCTGTGACTATTGTAGCCATGCAGGCGTTCTTTGCATTATATTTATGAGTAGCCTTGCAGAGCTATAAATTGATTTTAGAAGGTGAATACTTAGACATGGAAGATATATATGTAGGGGGGCGTTCTCCAACTTAAATTGTTTTTCATGTTGCCAATTTCAAAAACAAATCAAAGCCATCTGGTTTAAAAGCAGATCGTTTCTCAAAACTAAAACACAGAAAACATGTTCTTGATTATGTATACGTTTTTGGTTTTCGAAAGTTTGAAGAGTGACAATTTGTTTTTGCTTTATAAACATGGTTTGAAAAAACAAATAACAAAACCATCTTTCAAAATAAAAACAAAGTTAGGAAACATGTTCTTTGCTGATGTGGCAATTTTGAAAACAAACGGAAACAAAAACGTTCACATTGTTTAACAAAAGGACATATAAATAAAATGAAGCAAAGAAATGGCCGATATCTATTGCGAGGTATTGAATGCTGCAAATAAACGGAGTACTCTACTAGCTACCTGAGCGTCATCATGTTCATTAGCCGAAATTGTTCACTACTAAGGTGCATGTAATCTATAACAAGGTCATTAGATTTGTGTATATGGCTTTGTTCATTTTTAAAAAAGATTTACTTTACTTATCCAGATAAGTGTTATTGTTTCATTAGAATTTTAGAAAGTTATTAACCTTGTAAGTTTACTTACCCGGATAATAAGTTACTTAGGAAACACTTACCCAAGTAAGTGAACTTATTAGTGTTCTTTTGATTCCCAAGAAAAATGGTCAATGGGAATCACAGTGCCACTAATCAACCCCCCCGCTCCCTCTTCAGAATCCGAAGAATGAACAGGGCCTAAACAGCTGATCCATTAAACCACCCAACTTGGCCAATGGTTTCCAGTTTAATAATAAAAAAAATCAAAATTATTTTTTAAACTAAAATAACAAAAATGTTAAAAAAAAAAGAAACATGTTAGAAGCAATGGTTGAGAGTTGACTAAAAAAATCAAAATTATTCTATATATTACTGATCCATCATCTATCTTTACCCTAATATGTTAATCTAAAGGCTAAGATTTTAAATACATATTAAAAATAACTCAACCATTTGAACCGTTCAATCTGGGCGATCAACTGTTGACCCAAAAACTGGTGGATAATCTGTCTCCATATCGACTTTTAGAACCTTGTTAAAATATGTGGCTGTCGTCATCCAAAAGATACCTGAAGTTGGGGAGTCTGGATCTCCTGTTCACACAAACTTTGCCCACGTCTACCTACATAACATCACAGCCACATATGGAGAACATTTCATCCTCCTACATGGTATTATGTAGGGGAAGATGTTCCCAATTCATGGGGATAGTGTGTTGTGAATAGACGTGAGCAGAATTTTCATGAGCAGGAGATCCGGAGTCAAAGTTGGGTCAAATTCTATGTGACGTGCTAACTAACATTAACTCGTTAAGAATTAGGGGGAACGATACTGGTAAAGTTAAAGGATTTGCAGTTACCTATTAGAAACTGGCATTGATAGTGTGTTAACATTAACTCATTATCATATCATATCGATGGGCCATCGAAACATTAAATGAGTTATGGGATTCTGATGTTTTCAAATGTTAAAAGAACTTTTTATAATCCCCTTAAAAATATGAAACAAAAATAAATAAACAAAGTTTATTTATTTGTTGGCCCATTCATGTGTACGATCCACCTTTTGGTCAGTGGTCACCTGAAACGTGTACAATCCACCTATTCATGTGTATCGGGTGTACCAATATATGGAACCTTTTAAAGTCTAAGGCTGAGTTTGGAAAGAGTACAAATGCAAATATGTAAAGTGCAAAACCTTATATTTTGTATGTATTTACGTTTTACATATTTGCATTTGTACGACAACTCATCTATGAGAAATTTTCACTGTTTTTGTAAATTGCCTTGTATTAGAATCGAATGCTCCTAATCACATACCCAAAAGCCCAAATGATAAATCTTGCCCCCTCACTCCTCCATTGCCATTTCAGAGGGCATTCCTGTAGTGGCTTTTGGCTTTTGTGAGGTGGATTCTACCCAGACAGTCTACAAGCAATGTTTGTTTTAAAACCCAGAAAAGCTTAAATTTGCTATCCTTAAGCCAAAAAAGAGAGACTTTTCATTAAATTTTCTTTTAGTGGTTTCTCCAGCATTGAGCTGCTTCAAATCATCCTAAATAAGCTATTTAAAGAGGTTGAAGTAGATAACCCTTCAAATGACCGACGGACATCTGATTTGTACTCTCCATACTGTTTTTTACCAAGCAAGCATAGCTTATAGATTGTATGTGCAGAGCCCAACCTCAGAAGGTCAGAAACCATTGTACTTCAAATGGCCAACTTAAGCCGCTGCGCCAAATAATTAGCTGATGAAAAACTTATTGCCCATGTGTCTAAAGTTAAGTTATCCACAAGTGCTTCATTGGAAGTCCTTTCAGTCTTATTGAGGGCTGATCTGAAGATTTAGCTAATCTGATTCAGCTGCTTTGGAGCGATTGGATAAGCCATTCAAAGAAGCTGAAGCAAACAGCCTTTATGAAGCATGGATTATAGGCCTACAACCATTCAACCTCAGTGTAGAACCCAGGTATTTTATCATTGATGTAGGGCATTATCATTGGTCTCACATCTTTAGTACACAGCATTCAGCTAATCCAAATTTTTTACCAACAGCTGATTTCGGAAGCATAAATTATAGACTGTTGGTGTGGGACCAACCTTAGAAATCCTCCCAAACAGTCACTGTGATTTATTAACAGGAGATTTAAGCTCAGTTTGGAAGGAGTACAAATACAAATATGCAGGGTGCAAAACCTTGTGTTTTGAGTGTATTTGTATTTGTATTTGTTTCTTTCCAAAATAAGTCTTTTTGGAAGGAGTATAAATACAAATATGTAGAGTGCAAAACCTTGTATTTTGTATATATATGCACTATACTTAATTGTATTTGTACTCTTTCCAAACTGAGCTAGGTTTAATTTAGGAAGAGTACAAATACAAATATGTATGGTGCAAATAAAAAGTTTAGAAATGTTGTTTCCAAAGGTGCAAATATGAATATATACGGTTCAAAGCCTTGTATTTTGTATTTCAAAACCTATATTTGCACCATGGTTTTCAAACCGCCGCTAACCCCGGACAGTTGAACCGTTCGGCCTCAAAACCATCCAGGCAACTGATTCTGTTTTACCCCAAACCCGGTCTCTGGCCAAAAATCATTGAATCAGTCAACAACTCATTGATCCAAGCGGTCGAACCATCAACCCATTCAACGGTTTTTGACCGTTTTTTAATTTTTTTTTAATTTTTTGGTAGAACAGGCCATCTGTTTGAACCGGATAGTCAAACCGTTGACCCAGAAACCGATGGCCAAAACTGTTTCGTTTCTGGGTTGTTTTTTAAAACCATGATTTGCACTGTTCATATTTGTGTTTGTACTCTTCCCAAGCTGAGCCATAGGGCTTTTGCTACATTTTTTGTAATTTTAATGTTCCTTATAAAACCAAAGAAGAGAAGGCATTGGTGACTGGTATTAATATTGACAATCTTCTTTTTTCTCCTTTTTTTTCATGACAAACCCATTAATTTCATTCGCTACATCATCATCATCATCCATGCCTTATCCCAACTATATGGGATTGCCTACATAACTCTTGTTTTGCCAATCCAATCTATTTAATTTCATTCACCAATCATTACAGTAAAAAATAAATAAAAGAATCACTTACTAAGACACCTTAGTTAACCATATTAATTAAAACATCCCCTAGTAGTTTGCATTTTAGTAAGACATTCCCCGTAGGTTTCACCCAATTTACTTATTGTTTTGTCCCTCAAACAGAAATGCAATTTGACAATTGATATCCTTACAGGTTGTTTGATCGAAATAATCAATTTCATCCTTGATAATTTTGCTCCTCTTTTCATATTTTGAATGAAGTCGAGAATGGGCAAACACCAAATCCTTTCCGGTTTACTGTTCAAAACTTTATGAGCAGTGGCGGATCTACGTAGAAGCCAGTGTCATGAGCAATTGCCCCTATTGAGATTTAAAAATGGTTTATATGTATATGAAGAAATTTTTTTTCTTTTTACAATTGCCCCCACTCAAATAAAACAATAAGGCGTCAAATAAAATTTGACTTCTTAAATGAGGTATTTTTTTCATGGCTTTAAAAGGCCTAAGAGGTGAGGCCAGAGGTGTGCCCCCACTAATCAAAGGTCTTGGATCCACCACTGTTTATGAGCAGAGTGGGAGAAGTCCATTGAATCTCTTGCTTGATAGGAATCACTACAAACCCTTGATCGAAGAGGAAGAGACATTGTTTGAAGATGAGGAAAACCCTCTCCAGTCTCGAATTCAAAACCTTACCAACAAAGTGGTACATGCTTG